TAAACTGCTTGGAGATGATAGCAGTCGACAAAGCGCCACGGCGTTTTTGTCCCCAGGTAACAGGCCACCACATCTTGGTCCGGTCGGACAACATGTCAGTGGTGGCATACATAAATCGCCAGGGCGGCGTCAGGTCACGAAACCTTCACAGGCTGACGGAACGCCTCCTGGTCTGGGCTCAGCACAACCTGCTCTCACTGAGAGCAGCGCACGTGCCTGGTCACCTGAATGTGGGACCAGACAGACTGTCCAGGAACAATGTTCCAGCAGGGGAATGGTCGCTGCACCCGCAGACGGTCCAGCTGCTGTGGAAAACGTTCGGCAGAGCACAGGTGGACCTATTCGCGTCCCACGAAAACGCTCATTGCCCGGAGTCTTTCTCGAAAAGCAAGGACGCGCTGGCTCATGTTTGGCCCCGCTGCCCCCTATATGCTTTTCCTCCTGTCTCGCTACTGCCCAGGTGTTGGAACGAATCAGGGAGAACGGATGCCCAGTGCTGCTCGTAGCTCCGCTCTGGACAAACCAGACGTGGTTCCCTGCCCTGATGCAGCTGACCAGCACTGCCCCATGGCCTGTACCATTGAGGAGAGACCTCCTCTCTCAGGCGGAGGGCTCGATTTGGCACCCTCGCCCGGAGTTGTGGTCCCTGCACGCATGGGCCATCAACGGGTACCCGCTAGCCTCCCAGACGATCGCGCAGGCTAGAGCTCCGTCTACCAGGCGGCTCTACTCCTCGAAATGGTCTGTTTTCTCTGCATGGTGTCAAGCCCAGAGCTTTTCACCTGTGGAATGCGGGGTTTCGGAAGTGCTTTCCTTCCTTCAAGAGCTACTGGATAAGGGCAGGACCCCATCCACGCTCAAAGTATATGTGGCGGCCATAGCAACGTTTGCAAAACCGGTGTCTGGCCAGTCGCTGGGGAAAAACGACTTAGTCGTGCGTTTCCTTAGGGGAGCTCGGAGGCTGAACCCTCCCAGGCCCCCTTCAGTCCCGACGTGGGACCTTTCCACGGTCCTGGAGGCCATGAAAGGCGCCCCGTTCGAGCCAATCCAGCTGGTGGACATGAAACACCTGTCGTTCAAAACAGTGTTTCTCATGGCTCTCGCTTCAGTGAAGCGCATAGGGGACTTACAGGCGCTTTCAGTAACCGCGTCGTGTATGGAGTTTGGGCCTAATGACTCGAAGGTCATTCTCAAACCAAAGCACGGGTATGTCCCGAAATCCCTCAATACACCGTTCAGGGCCCAGGTAATTTCCCTGTCCGCCCTTCCGGTTCTCAGTGAGGAGGAGGATGCGAGTCTCCTTTGCCCCGTCAGGGCATTGAGAGCTTATGTGTCACGCTCGTCTGTTTTCAGACAGACGGAGCAGCTTTTTGTTTTGTTTGGCGGGCGTTCCAAGGGACTCGCCGCCTCAAAACAGAGCCTATCCAGATGGATAGTGGATGCCATTGCGCTCGCTTACTCTGCGAAGGGCCTACAGTGCCCCTTGGGTGTCAGAGCGCACTCCACGAGAGGCGTGGCCTCTTCGTGGGCGTGGTCGAGCGGGGTTTCCCTGCAAGATATCTGTACGGCCGCGGGCTGGGCCTCGCCGTCTACATTTATAAAATACTATAACCTGGAGGTACCCGCCTTACAAGCTAAGCTTTTGGCGGTCTAAAATTCAGTGCTATCTGCCCCGCTGTGCGGCCCAGATGCTGAGTTTACTGCAGCCCCATGAGTGTTGACACACGTATGGCCACCCAGATCAGGCTGAAAGCTTTCACCCTGGCTGCGCGTTTTATTGTCATATGATAGCCCCGCTGGGTGCTTTTTTATAGGGAATGACGCTTCCAGCCTCTCTTCCTCCACTCTATGTGAGTTTATGGTGATTATGCACTACATGAGCCCTGGGCTTCGGCTCCCGGGACTTTGGTGTTGGATCCCTGTACGCACGGCGTGTTGCATTGTGTTCCCCTAGCGTAAGCTATTACGCAGTACGAGAGATACTCTCGTAAGAGAACGTACTCGGTTACTAACGTAACCTCGGTTCTCTCTAGAGAGGGAACGAGTACTGCGTATCTTGCCGTGCTTGGAATACGCTCTGGTTCGCTTCAGCGATAAAAACCAGCTTGTACCAGCCTAACGAGCATATTTATAGGGTGAGACCACGCCCCTTCTGGCGGGACGTGACGATATGGGCGCGAATTGCCCCCATTGGTCATTACGTCACGCAGAGTCTCTCTCGATAGGCTGCTGCATTTGCTGCAGAGCAACCAATAGGCGCGCGAGCTGTTTCGCCTATGTCTGCTTGCTGCTGCAAAGCGTTTTACATTAATAAAAAATTAAGGATAATTTTTGCCTTCAATATCTCGTGGAAAAGAGTTTTTCCCCTAGCGTAAGCTATTACGCAGTACTCGTTCCCTCTCTAGAGAGAACCGAGGTTACGTTAGTAACCGAGTACGATTTAAAGATAAGGCCAGGATATGTATTTTTTTTCGCCGCTAGGGGTCGCTAACCTCTTACAATTACAATTTCCTGCGGAATTATGGAACTTGTCGTCAAGCTGATGGATCTAATAATATTTATGGATGAGTGAATACATTGATGTTTTTTAACATGACTGTGGTATGAATGGATACTCCCCCTCTCACACTGCACACTGAGTGGCCACTCCCCCTCCACACTACACACTGAGGCCACTCCCCCTCTCACACTGCACATTGAGTGGCCACTCCCCCTCCACACTACACACTGAGGCCACTCCCCCTCTCACACTGCACATTGAGTGGCCACTCCCCCTCCACACTACACACTGAGGCCACTCCCCCTCTCACACGGCACACTGAGTGGCCCCATCTCCCTCTCTCACACTGCACACTGAGTGGCCACTCCCCATGCCACACTGCACACTGAGGCCACTCCCTCTCTCACACTGCACACTGAGTGGCCCCATCTCCCTCTCTCACACTGCACACTGAGGGGCCACTCCCCCTGTCACACTGCACACTGAGGCCACTCCCCCTCTCACACTGCAGACTAAGTGGCCACTCCCCCGTCACACTGCACATTGAGTGGCCACTCCCCATCTCACACTGCACACTGAGTGGCCACTCCCCTCTCACACTGCACACTGAGTGGCCACTCCCCATCTCAGACGACACACTGAGTGGCCACTCCCCATCTCACACCTCACACTGAGTGGCCACTCCCCCTCACACTGCACACTGAGTGGCCACTCCCCCTGTCACACTGCGTGGCCACTCCCCATCTCACACTGAGTGGCCACTCCCCCTCACACTGCACACTGAGTGGCCACTCCCCATCTCTCACTGCACACTGAGTGGCCACTCCCCCTCTCACACTGCACACTGAGTGGCCACTCCCCCTGTCACACTGCACACTGAGGCCACTCCCCCTCTCACACTGCACACTGAGTGGCCATTCCCATCTCACACTACATACTGAGTGGCCACTCCCCCTGTCACACTGCACACTGAGGCCACTCCCCCTGTCACACTGCACACTGAGGCCACTCCCCCTGTCACACTGCACACTGAGTGGCCACTCCCCCTCCACACTACACACTGAGTGGCCACTCCCCCTGTCACACTGCACACTGCACCTCACACTACACACTGAGTGGCCTATTCACAAACTGATTGCTCAACCGTAGGGTTTTCTCGGAGTTCACTGTGTGCTCCCAGAATCGTAGCGCTTCTTCATTTGTGGATGTTTACTGAATCTGTAAGTCAGCTACTCTGAATATTATATTTTATTCTGGTGCACTTAACGTTATCGTTTTCTCAGAGATTAGTCTCCTGTGTAATAGTAGTCTAGGCTATTCAGCAACTCAAACATACCAAACCAACAATTACTAAAAACAGATTTTGCACGGGCATTGCACTATTAATAATAATAAAAATAATCCTCATACTTTTGCCAATTATGTCTTCTTTATATACATATTTGTAAATAAAATCCCCATGAACAACTTTTAGCTTTGTTGTGGTTGATCAATTTAACCACTTTTAATTCAGTTTTAACACTGTAATTGTTGATAAGCTTGTAGAATTGATTAGCCTGGTTAAAACCAGTCCAAGTTGTCTGGGTTTTCCCAGGCTAAGAATTGAACTAAAACCTTGTGAAAATGCTGCAGGTAGCTATTTCGCCATCTCACCATGTTTATAAACATATAGAGCATTGTGTGTTTTGCAGAAAAAGATGAAGGCGGCTTACAATAATGAATTTATGCATGTCAAAAACATAAACATTTCTCATTGTGTTTTAGTACCAATCTGGTTGAAGTTACATAGGCTATCAACTGAGAAAGCAAAAGGAAATGACAAAATAATCAAAACTTTTTCTTTATTATGCCACCACAGATATTCATACAACATCATCACAGCAAAACAGAACATAATTAAACAGACAGAAAAAACTTCGGTGCTGTACCGTCTCGTTTTTACTCAGAGCGTAACAAATCAGTGGCTGTAGCCAGTCATTCAATAATGTCTCGATCGACACAGAGTACAAACAATTGAGCATATACATAAACATTTATTTTAAAAGAAAAGAAAAAAAGAAACTTGACTTCATTCGACGCTGAAACGCAATTACGTTACCGAAAACAGTTTTTGTGATCCGAAGAGCGTACACTTCCAGTGGCGCTTTAACACAAAACAGGAAACTCGTGAATATTCATGTAAGCTCCGCCCATTGTCACCGAAAATCTCAAACACCGTCAGTGCCGCAGCCGCACATGGCACATTATCAGCAAGGCCAAAAATAACCAAGGACTTTCTCTTCTTCCGTATAACACTGTCATCTGCTGGTGGTTCTTGTCTATATGACAGCCAAATCACCGTTTAAGGTGGACATGCTCAACTGACACATTTGATTAAGCAAATGAATGAATTAGAGTCTAGACGAATAATACGAAAGAAGTGTAATGTAGCCTTAAGGGCAGGGTGTAGTGCAGCCCAGCCCAGCCCAACATACAAGTCAAAGGGGAGGAACCGAACCGAACACCGTCACCTCACTCACATTATTATCAGTGAAAAATCACTGAAATAAACACCCAGGAGAACAAACAGGGAATAAAAGTTTTAACGAGCAGAAAATGTCGTTCATACCCGGCCAGCCTGTCACCGCTGTTGTGGTGAGTTTGCGATCAGTATGATCAAAGTTTTAGCATGTAACGTTAAAGCTTCACTAGCATTATTGCACTAAGCTTTTTGTGCAGTGCTTTGGTGGTTTTTAATTCTGCCAGTGATCCATTTGATATCGTTTGACTGAGAAAGTGGTTCATTTAAACATTATTTTTATTCCCAACACTAATCTATGATATAACAGGACAGTTTAGTTTAGTTTATTTGAGTTTAAGCTAACAGTTGATATAATGGAAATGGTTAGCATGCTAGGCTAACGTTAGCCAGGGGCGGACAAAGTGAACAATAGTTATATTGTTTATATAAATAATTGGTTATACTAGTTTTTATATTTTTATTTATTTATATTTTAGATTATAAATAATTGTTATGGGACATAATATAACGAAACCAAACGTTTTACTAGCAAAATAGAGCAAAACCAGATAGTGTGGGCTTTTTGAAATACTGTTTGAATGAGGCATATATAGCATTTTCATTAACATGTACATAGTACATTACGAAACTTTCATATGTACTATGTACATGTTTGTACTTAGCTCCTTTGGATGATGATACTGAAAGTTGGGGTTTAATTGTTCATATTTGAACTGTTCTGATGTCACTCAGGTGTGACGTAAGCAGGTGTGGTTCATGTGTTTCAGGTAGGTAGTGCTGCTATATATGGTCATAAACAGCTGTGCTGTAGGATGTGCCGCCTACCTAGACAGCATTTTTGGTTATCAGCCTATGTTGATAGCTAACTACATTTTGAAACATAAACTTAGTGTGCCTGTTTTCTCTCTTTATTTCAGCAACGAATTGAGATTCAAAAACTACGGGAAGGCGATAATTTAATACTAGGATTCAGCATTGGAGGGGGAATCGACCAAGATGCAAGCCAGAATCCATTTTCTGAAGACAAGGCAGACAAGGTGAAAAATCATTAGTAAAATGAATTCTAGTTAGAGTGAGGCATTTTTCCTTTCTGCTGCTGAGGTCAGTGTCTTTAAAGTGACTAGATGTCTGAAATGTAAAGGGGGCATTTCCCAGTTCAGTGATCAAAATATCATTGAAATCTGACACTTATTAATTAATAAAAAAACGGGGACAAATATATTTTTTTTGTATGTTTGTTTCCTGTACTTTTATTATGGTTAATAAATAATGATGATTACAGGCCAAACTGACTTCTTTAATACATTTAGGCGAATCAAAATCACACTATGAAAAATAGTAAGTTAACTATTGCAAACAGCAAAATAGATCAAAACAATATAATTATCAAAATGATCACTTTACAAAACCACATATTAAAAATAAAACATAATATATACGACTTATAACATAAATAAAACTGTAACGGTTCTTTTTTTTTTTAACAATTTTCTAATTCTATTCAGTCTTGTCATTTTCACAAACTGAATTTACTCTACACCGTAATTACAACTGTTGTTTTCTAATGCTATTTTATGTCTGTTCTTTTGGAAGTGGATCTTAGTTAGGCTTACTGCATTGTGATGAAGTAACTTTTGGGAAAGTTTAAAATTGTGTGTAAAAAAATCCCGCACCGTGTTATAATCCCGTCCTGTTATATAGTACATACAATAAAGTGACCAGATTTCTAAAATAAAATCCGGGGACATTTCCTAGTTCAGTGGTCAAAATGTATTTGAAATCTCACTTGTTATTATCTATGAAATAAAAAACGGGGACAATACATTCATTATATTCATTCATACATTTTTTTTAAATTGTTGTGGGTATCATATATTTTTTATTATATTTGATTATTATTATGATTATTATTATGATTATTATGATCCTAACTGGTTTGAATGAAATTCATTAAAAAACACCTTAGTTAAAAATTAAAGTATGTCCTGCAATTTTTTTTACTATATCGGAGTGTACTTTCACCATTGTGGTATGGATAAGATATATGTGGAAATTACTACATTTTAAGAGCAGAACTTTTGGAAATGTTTAAAGTTGTGTTCAAAACAGTCCCGCAGCCTGTTCTGGCCCTGACATATACAAACACAAACAGTATAGTTTCAACATGAATAGTTCATATGTAACTTACTTGAAACTGATAACGGTGTCTCTTTTGATGATGATAATTGTTGATAATAGCTTTCGTTCAGGTTGAGTTCTTCATTGCTAAAGTTATGGTGATATGGAAAACCAAGTAATTAATGTAGCTTTCAGCCCCCTCTGTTGGTCAAAATAATACATTTCTTTTGCAGTGTTTTGAACAAGCTGTAATCAGACACTTTTAGTGACAGGACACCAAAAACAAAGACTGTCACCAGAAAAGGGGGAAATCTGGACACTAACATACAAACATTTTTTAAAGTCAGGATGAAACAGAAATTGTGATGTTTTCTTCCCTAATGTGACTTCTATCCGAGGAGAACGGCTTCTAGTGGTGGGCAGGCGGATGCGTCATGGAACACTGAAACAGTTGAAGCAAATGTGCCGTATTGTGTCGAAGCTTCGAAATAATCTGACACCCGTCTTCCACGGTGACCCCTAGTGGTCAGAACAGTGTAAATGCATCAAAACCCCGAGCCAAACATGCATAAAAACACCTTTTACAAATCTATTGCAATTTTTTTAGTGAAAGTAAAATCTTTCAAATGCAAGAGTCAAGTGTATATATTCTATATTCTATTATCAATATTCTATATATAGTCTATATTCTATATATAGTCAATAGTCTATATTCTTTTATCAATTGTCAGGGTTTGTTTTGTTTGTTCTATGAATGGCTCAGCTAATCTGGCCAATAAGCGACTACCATTAACTACCATTATTCATTTGAATTATACCAATGTCTAAAACGTCTCCAAAAATATAAAACTGAGTATAAAACTTTTGAAAATTGGTTTCAAAGTGCAAGTTTTTGAAAGCGGTAGAGTCATCGTCTTCGTGTATAACTGCAAAAACGTGAATATGTTAAAACGGCGACTGACGTCATGCGCATGCGTATTATGTGTTCAGTCTATAGGCGCGTAGTGTTTCTTTACAAAGTGACATCGCCAACTACTGGCCTGGCATGAATAATGCAGCATTTTTAGGTGTTTTCGCCAAGGGGGGGTAATCCATCGACCGGAAGTTGAAGCCGGCCGGGTGCCGCCATGTTGTAGCAGAACTTCACTTGCGTTAGCATTTCCATTGACTCCCATTCATTTTGGCGTCACTTTGACAGCGAATAACTTTACATCTGAGGTGTTTAAAGACTCCATTTGTCCATTATTTATTTCTAAAGAAACACGACAATGTATAAAGGGCTCCATTACCTTCTATGTTACATTATGGCCCCGTAGAAACAGTTTTAGTAAAAATAGGCTAACGATTGCGTCATAACCACTCGACTCTGTCGCGCTGTACAGAAATTACCGTACAGACAGCAGGAGAAGCTCGCAGGCAATCAGGGGGACGTCCCGTCAAGGGAGAAGCCCATAGATAATGAGTCCATAAAAGCAACGGAATACTTACTCCTGCTCACTCACGCCAAAGCACTCTTTGCTCAAGTTCCCCGTCTCTGCAAGATTAACGTTGGCAATTTTCACGCACAGCTACTAGAAGAGTAACGTCTGTCAGACAGGTTGCTCACGTCATCAAGCTTAGTTTGAGTCGGTTTGAGTCTGCGCGTCAGGAACGGAAGTGCTCAGAAATCGCTAAAAATGGGCTTCAACTGTCTCAACTGAGTTCCAATGAGATGGCTCTGTCCATTTCTTATACTGTCTATGGTTTTCGCGGATCCGTGTGAAGATTAGACAACGTTGTCGTCTGTATGTGAAAAACACGAAGGAAAACCTTTTTGTTTTTAATACATCGTTGGTGTGTAAACGCACCCTAAATGGAGGGAATGTTAACATTTTTGATTAAAGATTACAAGGGCATACGAATTTAAAAATAAATTGTGTACGGCACTACAACATTCTGTAAAAAAAAAAGTCAATTTTGCTTTCATGGTGACTAATTTAATTTAACATGAATAGGTAATATGTGACTATCTTGAAACCAATAACAATGTCTCTTTTGGATAATTTATAATAGTGCTTTGCTCACATTTAGGTTAATTTCTTCATGGTAAAGTGGCGGTGTGTGACTAAGGGCCGTTACATAGTCAACGCGAGCGACGCGAGCTACACGCTCCTTTTCATAGTACACAAGCAGACGCAAGCGTCACCGGCGATGCGTGAAATGCAATACACCGATCGCGCAACAGAGGGTAGTAGAGTCTAGAGTCGGGTCACGTGATATTCAGATAAAAATGGCAACTGAAGAGGAGTGCATATTGCTGATTTTACATCGGCGGTCACAAAGGATGTATACGAACAAGCTCGCATAACTTTTCCTCTTCGCCCGCCATTGTATTCAAATCTTCTTCTTCTGTAAACATAATAATATACCTTTTTATGTACATTACTTGCAATGTCGCCCCCACCGACAACGCATAGTATTGCGCGCATCGGCGCGTCGCGTATCAAAAACTAGGATGACACATTTGGCTACGCATCGACGCATAATGGCGGCCGAAGCGTAGCGATGTGTAGCCTTGTGCACGCGTATGCGTACCGATGCGTTGACTATGTAAGGGCCCTAAGTAATCAGTGTAGCTTGTGTTGCACCCCCCTCTATTGGTGAAAATAATTACTACACCATTGCTTTGGTAACCAGCAGGCTATGTTGCTCTTGGTCAGGCTTTTTGAAGTGTATTTGTGGGCGTTTTGAACGTTCTGTAAAACGGGGGCATTTCCGGGGACTGTCCGGCTACCCTAATTCAGAGGTGACCCGTGTAACTTTATTTATTTCACAGGGAATCTATGTCACACGTGTGTCTAAAGGTGGACCTGCAGAAGTGGCTGGTCTCAGGATAGGAGACAAAATTATGCAGGTGAGAGGCACAAACCTGTCATCCATGTTGTAATGTTTTTTCGCTGAGATTTTTGTCCAAAACAAAACCTGATTTTACTAAACAAATCTCCACAAGAGGGAGCTGTGATATTATTTTTGTCTATTTTGTTTGTTTATTATTTTGTGACTTTGTAATTTCTTATTGTTTGAGGTACTAATCGAGGAATGTTTGTTTTGTAATTTTATATATGTATATACTTCATTTTATATAAAATTTTATATAATCCTTTGAAATTTCTGGGTCAAACATTATTATTATTATTATGAATTGTCAAGTAGGCTAGACGACACTAGTCAGTTAGGAAAATCAGTGGATGCAGATAGATATGTAATATTTGTTGAAAATGAACGCTACGCAAATTCTAGTTTTATGTCATTTGAAACTGCTACGGCAGCGGGGAAGAATGCAAGTGCAACAATTTGCGTTAATTAAAAACATTTTTTTTTTGCGTTAATTTAATTTTATATCTACACCGTTGAGATGGTGATATGGACATGCCTGCATTCAAGCATTACCGCTTACCCTACAGCATATTTAGTTCACAAACAACTGACAGCTGTGATCTAACGATAAGTTTCATTTACAATAATCAATCCTAAAATTCGGCATTTGTAACTTTTCGCGGCATCAGTCGCACGCACACTCAAGCTCGGAGGATCTCCCGGTTCTTGGCTCATTTTGAGTCAGACTTGTTAATTCAGTTAGCCTAACTCGCTCTGAACATAACATCGAATCAGTAAGTTGAGGACCGCTACAGTCGGATCAGTCCAATTCGCAAATTAATCATTTGGTACGATTTTTGAATCGGTTTAAAAGGTTCATTAAAAAGAATGAGTTTGTTCAGGAATCGTACACTGCTATTGCGTCATGTTGCACATGACAATTTCTTCAGTTCAAAATAACAAGTATAACGATAAGTTTTTATGAAATGTAGTGGAATAAAAAGTACGATATTATGCTTTGGAATGCATTGAAGTGAAAGTAAAAGTTTCTCAAAATAAAAATACTTCAGTAAAGTAAATATAGCCCACTTGAGAAATGTCCTTAAGTACAGTAACGAAGTAAAAATACACCACTGCATAAAACTAGTCTATATGACCTGTGCCAGCACAAGCTCAACTGCCGCTAACCATGTTGTGCCGCTCCCAATGCAAACTCAAGTCAGTGTTGGGGGTAATGCATCACATCAGATGACTTTTTTCCAAGTAACTAGTAAAGTAATACATTACTTAAAAATTCACAACAAGATATCTGAGTTAATTTTTCAAATAAGTAACAGAAGTTTCACCTGCTCACATCTGCTCTTTAGCCTGACTACGTCAGACTCACTCCGTACTTCCGCTCAATTTCAGTTCGCTTCTGTACTCAGTCTGAGACATCGACATGTCTCTCAGTTTTCCTCCGGCCTGAAAACAGCCGGCCAATCAACGAACAGAGGGCGGGCTGAGAGCCGTGACGTAGACGCTAAGCGCCGAGTTTAAGATTGGGGAAACATGGAGACACGGGATGCAATTCGCTCTGTTGTGGAGAATATTCCCGACATTCCCAACAAGAAGAGTGTTTGTTAGACATTTTGAATGCAGGTGATGTTTAAGTTGGAGAGAGAGGTGATTGCGTTATGTGATTGGCTTACGGGTAACCAATGATTTTATACTTCAGACAAGCGCCCCCCCCACGACAAAGAAAACACTTTTCAATTATGCCATTCCAGACTCTGTCTATGAAGCAAAGCAAAGTAGCAGAGTTTGGTATTACCAGGGTATCTGCTCTTGGCACTGTAGTGAAATTTCACTAGTGAAGTAACAATGTCGGATATTTGTTAAATTGTTCTTTGTTCTAAAAACACTTTATGGTGCTTCTTTTGGTCATTTTATTTATAAAATACTGGTGACTTCCCTTTTTACAATGTCTTGTGTTTGTCAGTAGTTTAGAGGACCTATTAATCTTTTTAACATTTTTCATTTAAATAATGGATGACATATACCTCATTTTAATAATTGCCTACCAAAAAAGGGGGCGAGGCCTGGTTGAGCAGTAGTAGTGTTTTGAAACTCGTGGTTATGGCCAGGGTTGCCAGGTTTGTGTTAAAAAAAAACAACAACCGCGGCAACAGTGTAAAAGTAGCCCAAATCCGTGGGAAAACTGGAATGGTTAGGGTTGTGACATTTAATGAGCATACTTGAAGTGGTTGACCAATCACAACACACTGGTCCAGTCGACTAATCGGAGCACATTGCACGTTTCGGAGGGAGGGGCTTCATAGAGACAACGTGACAAACTTCATGTTTCCCGTACACTTGATGCTTCACTACCATAGTACGATGCATCGTTGAAGAAATCAACTAGCCAGTCACGACTGTTTCCCGAAACCATATCGTCGCAAAAGGGTCTTTCAACCACATTGGTTTATGACGTCACGCACGTGGTGGAGTAATAACTTATTTTAATTAAACTGTTTGAGATGGAATTAATGCGAGATGTTTTGATATAAATTACAGACATGGCATCTGAGGACTATTTCTCATTTTCCTCAGTTATTTTGCTTTATTTCCAGACTCAATCATTGGCTCGTTCTTACATAGTACAGCACTTTCACACATGGGCACCCTTCAAAAACGACACTTTAAATCTCTCGACAAACTAAAAGATGTAAATGACATTTGTATGTATTCTAAAAAAAAAAGACACAGGCTGTACTGAATGTCAGCTTGCTTATTTTGCTCAAGATAAGTATTTAAGTCCACATGTCATGCAATCTAGAAACTTCTAACCACAGGTCGAGGTTTTGGTAAAGACCGTCTCGTTGAACTATGCTAACGACGGAACTTGTGAACATACCGGGAGCTGGCTAACGATGCTTTTGGGAAACGTACCTCAGAGTTACTGACAGACTGGGAAGAGAGGTGCTGCAACAATGGTTTTTTTTTTTTTTTTTTTTTTTTTTTTTACATTCAACATTCAACATACTAATAGACCTGCAAAACAAAATCAAGACTTTGTAAAAGGGCATAATAAATCCTTTTTAAGGAATAGTAGGATTATTAGTTTTCACCCATTTTCACCCTCATGCTATTCAAAACTGGTTAGCAAATTAGCTGTGATGCTTCTACGGGAAACACTAGTTTAAATCTAGCTCGCAATCTTTCAAGACACAGTTACCTCTTTTTTCAACATCATTTTCCCTATTTCTCTAATGAAAGTGGCAAAAGACCAACAATTCAATAAAAATGCTGAGCCTCTTGATGTCCTCCTGTTTAATACTGTAGTTATATATTTGGCATAAAATTCTCATATTAGTTTTTGTGTGCTCTCAATGTTATTTCTAGGTGAATGGCTGGGACATGACCATGGTGACACATGATCAGGCACGTAAAAGACTCACCAAGAAGAAAGAAGATGTGGTCAGGCTTCTCATCACTAGAAAATCCCTGGAGGAAACAGTCAGGCATTCCATGATGCAACACTAATGCACAACACACTCATTGAGCTAATTGAATGTCCTTATTGGTAAATCTCATGTTCAGAGCATATTTTAACTAATAAGAAACAAACAGCTTCTCTCAGCCAAAGAGCGTTGACAAGAAAGCCTTACTTGATCAGTCACCTCTGTTAAAGATCATTTATCATGTATTGAACTGTAACTGAACTGAACCAGCGTATGTATGAATGATCACTCTCAAAGTACAATGTAAAGATTGTGGTTTGCATTTCATAATTTGCTATACTAATTTCCATTTATCTATACTTTATACTAAATACTACACTATATGTACTGCATATACTCCTGAATGTATCATGGTGCCTGTAAACTCCATATCATTTAATTCATAATCTCAAGGGCTACAGTGAATTGTTCACCTCATTTCTCTTTGCTTCATCAACAAATACAGCTACATATACATCTTTAATGAATCAAGTATTAACAGCCAGAATACAGCGGTACTTTAATGACCACTAATTTTTCTAACTTGTGAGATCCTTTTTTAATTTTTTGTAACTCTTCATCTTATAACTCTGTTTTTGTATTTAATTAAAACCATATTAGTGTAATATCATGGGAAAGATGAGGAGCTTCATCAGGATTTGGCACAAACACTACAGTTTTGTATTCAACAATGCTTTTTTCCAACACTTTTGTTTTGAAAATGTTTTTGATACAGATTTTTTTTTTTGGCATTTTGATTGTATAAAGAGATATTTTCACTTAAGCGAATAAAGGAATCTTCTTGCACATGATTTGTGATTAATTGTAGTGACTGATTGAACTGAATGGAGTGTTTTCTGTCTCAGCTCTGATGTCTAATGAGTCTCTGATTGGGTCTTTGGTCAAGACTGTAAATGTCTCGGTCTTCGCATTAAGCTTGAAGATGGTGACATTTCAAAGCAATAAATCTATCCTGACCTTTTGCTGTTTGTCCAGGCAGTTTTGTACTTCAGGCTACTTTCATCTCTTTAATGTTAGCAGGAAAAGGTGAGCACACAACCAGATAGCTCATGATGCAACACCAGAGTGCTGTAAAAGAGCTGCTGATAATTATAGGGCGGCAATAGCTATGCAGTAACATCCATATTCTAGGGCACTGGTGAGAGAGAGCATATTAGACAGGATATAATTTGAACAGAATTACTTTTTGTTGAATTTGTAGAATTACTAACATTTTCCCTTTAATATTTAACAAATAGCATTCTGCTATCAAATATGCTCCAAGATTTTATCTAACCACCATTTACATGTTTTGGTGTAACATGTACGTTTATGGACGTTTACATGTAATCCAAAGTTTAAATGATTTAAAAAAAAAAAATAGATATAGAACAGTAAGTGTTAGTAATGGATCAAGTGTTGCCGAAAAAATGCGTCATCAGCCGTGTCTTGAAAATGACTAAAGACTCAGCAGTTCGGCTTAATGTAGGCAGATCGTCCACCAGCAGGGAACAGTCAAGGTGAAGGTCTGTGAAAGTGATTTGTGCCTCTCTGAGATGGAACCACAAGGTGCTGTTCACTTGCAGAGCGCAAGCTTCTGGATGGCACATAGGTCTGGAGTAATGAGTTTAGCTATAGAGGTGCAGAGCCAGTGGTTGTTCTGTAGGCAAAGATAATGCCTTGAATTTGATGCGAGCGGCAACTGGCAACCAGTGCAATTTATCAGGGGAGGTGACGTGACGTGTGCTGTCTTCGGCTTGTTAAAGATCACTCTCGCTGCTGTATTCTGGATCAGTTGCAGAGGTTTGACAGTTCATGCTGTAAGACCTGCCAAGAGAGCATTACAATAGTCCAGTCTGGATAGAACAACAGCTTGGACAAGGAGTTGTGTAGCATGCTCTGATAGGAAAGGCCTGATCCTCCTGATGTTGTATAGAGCAAATCTGCAGGACCAGGCTGTTCTAGCAATGTGGTCTGTGTGGTTTAAATGATCATAGATCACAACTCCAAGGTTCTTGGCTGTCCTGGATGGAGTTATGGTTGACGAACCTTGCTGAATGGAGAAGTTGTATGGGATGATTATAGTATCAAAATGATTAACACGTGCAAGCACACTTATCAATGAACTTGATACATGTTGCAGAAATGTTTTATCCATGCCTTTCAACTTGCGTGTGCAAAATTCAAAATTGAATGAATGTGAAGCAATTTGTACAAATAGAGACATTTTTGTGAATACAAATGTTTTCCTTTGTATTAGTGTATCATAATTTGCACATGCAACACAGAAGACGTGCATGTGTCGATCAGGTGACGCGCGTGCATTCATTGACTCGTTTCTGAGTCGATCCTATTTGATTCATTTGGATTTTGAGACTTTCATTTCGCGGGTTTCGCCTTGCACGATCCACACACAGCTGTCTGAGAAAAGCTGCTACCACTAGATGGCAGTATTCTGCTAAAACAGACAACGGCAGCATAATCAAGCGTTCTTCCGCATTTAAGACGCTTAATGAGAGTGATATTGAAGCACCAAATTTAGTACACAATAACATAGGCCTACCCTATTAATAAAGCATACTTTATAGAGGCAAACATTACGTCAGATTATGAACAACACCCATAGAAAACCATTATAAAACGCTTAACGTGCAATCGCGCGTTGCATGTTCAGTAAGGTGTATTGGCTACTGAGTTTAAATATCACCGTCTTACTGCATTGACTTTTTCTTTATAATATGCTCTATGGGAGGAAAACTATATAGCCTACAGACAAGAGACTACATGAACGCAATGTACGGCGTTTCAAGTTAATAACATTTCCTTCCCGAGCCTGTTAAAAAGAAAAAGCTTAACATGAAATAAAAATTCTGCAGTTGCGTTTAACTTTGCATGTGAATGGGAGAGCAACCGGTCCGAGAGCGCAGTGAAGTAAGTTTTAGGTTTGATATTCGCCTCATTTTATAAAGGGACCATCTGCAAACTCCACTCACAGTCAAAAAAATATAAACGTCCAGTCATTCATTCAAATGAACATATTTCCAAGGTTATATTATAACCTTGGAAGTCTAGTGGGCAGACTGACTTAGCCTACTGTTACTGTACTATGTCCAGCCAATATCTCGATTGAACAGTACAATTTTTTAATTTACTGTAAATTGTTTTTCTATTCATGTTCCAAAGGTTGTAGTACGTTCCTAGTGACAAGTCAGGTGAAATTTTACATTATTCACTTGTAGTAAGTCACCAAAAACCCGTTTGGTTAATTACAGTAATTTTTTTATAAAATAATAATTGTTTACTAAATAGGCTACATGAAGGGAGTTATTGGGGCAATTTCACCTGTAGTAAGCCAGTCTAGTCACTGAACATACTACAACCATTTTGAACATGAAAAAACCCTTTTGGTGAATTACAGTATTTTTCTGCAGAATACAGGCTACATGAAGGGAAGTATTGTCCAAATTTTACTTGTAAGTCAGTCTTACAGAAACCTTCTACGAGCTTTGGAATTTGAAAATGTCTGTTATTAAATTTAAAAAGTAATTTGAATTAAAACAAATTATACGTTTTAACCACTGATCTATATAAAATGACATTATAGATCAGTGGTTTTAACGCAGTTAGTGGAATTGGCAGACGTTCCCTTGTGCATCATGAGCTGTGGTTAGCGCGTCAAAGCATTCTCATGTAGAAATATGCAGCTACAGGCCGCTACGCCAGTTGATTTTCAATTAATATTTCATGTCGATATACAATGGTTGCATATTGTTAAAACTCATCGTGCTATAGTAAGACTATAGCCGGCTTAAGGGTCAAGGGAAAACAAATGTACTGCGAAAATCGTCTTTAATATTTAAAAACAGACATTTTCAAATTCCTGCTTGTATACTATGTACACAATGTGTAGTCAGATAAAAATAAGCATATAATATGAACGCAACTGCGAAATTTCACCTTTTTTTTAACAGGAAGGAAAATTGTATTAACTTGAAACGCCGTGCGTTGCGTTCATGTAGTCTCTTGTCTGTAGGCTATATAGTTTTCCTCCCATAGAGCATATTATAAAGAAAAAGCTTAACGTCAATGCAGTAAGACGGTGATATTTAAACTCAGTAGCCAATATACCGTAGGCTATTGAACATGCAACTAATGGTTTTCTATGGGTGTTGTTCATAATCTGATGTTATCTGTTTACCTCTATAAAGTATGCTTTATTAATAGGGTAGGCCTATATTATTGTGTACTAAATTTGGTGCTTCAATATCACTCTCATTAAGCGTCTTAAATGCGGAAGAACGCTTGATTATGCTGCCGTTGTCTGTTTTAGCAGAATACTGCCATCTAGTGGTAGCAGCTTTTCTCAGACAGCTGTGTGTGGATCGTGCAAGGCGAAACCCGCGAAATGAAAGTCTCAAAATCCAAATGAATCAAATAGGATCGACTCAGAAACGAGTCAATGAATGCACGCGCGTCACCTGATCCACACATCCACGTCTTCTGTGTTGCATGTGCAAATTATGATACACTAATACAAAGGAAAACATTTGTATTCACAAAAATGTCTCTATTTGTACAAATTGCTTCACATTCATTCAATTTTGAATTTTGCACACACAAGTTGAAAGGCATGGATAAAACATTTCTGCAACATGTATCAAGTTCATTGATAAGTGTGCTTGCACGTGTTAATCATTTTGATACTAAAATCATCCCATAAAGTTGTGATGTTGTGTACCAGGTGTAAACAGGCCCTAAGATGAGTGCAAGTCTGAAGAGTAATACATATTGATTTTAGCGTTGTACATATCATCTACTAACTATAAGCAAAGACAAAATGTTTTGTCAGTGCTTAGCTAGTAATAAGAACACTTAATCCATACAATAGTAAATCCAAACCTTTTATAATTATTTTAACTGTGTCGAATTTATTCAGTGCAATGCGTTTCATGCCTGTTTCTCAGCAGCTGAATGTGTAATTACAGTAGCTAAATGTAGAACATGTATGCAACATACCACCCACACTCTGGCAGGCTATTGTGTTACCATAGCGATGCAATCTACTGCTGTCACCTTTCAGAAATGAGAAATACGCTGTTTTATGGCAAAGCCATGTTTTCAGTCTTTATACACCACAAAGAACAGATACACACACATTTTTCATAAAAACTTACATACACAACATATAGTGTTATATTCTCTATGGAATCAACATACAACATTCTTACCAAAGCACCATTGTCATACCAAATACTCTGCTGCACGTTATGTTTCAATTTGCAATAACTGTGTCAATGGAGAGCATTGGATATTTGCTGCTGATTATTAAACTTAAGAATTATAAATGGAAACAGCACATGCATTAATATGTGTTAGTTTCCCTTGTGAAAATGAAATATGTATTTGAAATACATTTATTTTATGCTAAGTATACTACAATTACATATTTATGTACTTAATAAATACCCTGCAATTGTGTTGGTATACTAAATTGGTATACTGGTATATATTTTATTGTGCTGAAATGGAACTATTGCTGGTAT